TTATTATTTGTGGTTTCGTATTGTTGTTTTGTTTTTGCTTTTTAGTTGTCTTGCTTCGTGGCTTTTGTTGATTCTATTTTGCCTCTGATTCAAGCGCCAAGGGAAATGTCCATTTTACTGGTGACTTTACTTATTGCTGGGGCAGCTTGTCCTAAAATGTCGGCACCGTCGCCATTGATAGTCCTATTCCCAAAAATTCCCGAACGTTGTTGTTCACTTGTTGTTGTTGTTTAGCGGCATTGTCATTCATCTTGTTTTTGGGGGTATTGTGTTTTGGGGTTGCTGCGGTTCAGGTTGTTCAACAGCTCCTTGTAATCTGTAGGCCTAAACCGTACCCCAAGTTGTTCGTGATGCTGGGAGGCGGGCAGATACGCTCGCAAAGGGGTTGAAATAGGTTCTGAGGGGTGTCGTTTCTCAGCTTCCGCTTGTCAATGCAGAACCAACCCTGTAACTTTCGGTGATGAATAAAGCCAATGGTATGATATGAGCACGCTTAGAGGTGATAACAAGGAAGGACAACTGCTGAGACAAACTGCTTAAAGTCACGGGCTGAAGCGAGAAGACCTTTCTTCAAAGAAGTATTTTGAAGTTTGTCAATCCGTGCTGGCTTCATCTCCCCCAAACCCTTAAACAGGAAACGAAGACCTAACTTCAATTGAAGGTTTGCGTGCTTACTTAAGTTTCAGCTAAGCCCCTACGTCACGAATTGGGAAACACTGGCTGGATAAGCTGTGTGTCGTGTTTGCGAAACTTAACGCAAGGAAGAATGTGAGGGCTGAAGCAAAAACAACATAGTGACATATGTTCTGGAATACAGGCGTAATGTCACAAAAACCGCTCAGCAGCCCTTCTATGTTAATCTTTTTCATACGCCCCTACGGGGGGGGGCGGGGGGGCTTGTTTTGGCAACAGAAGCGGCGAATCGCCTCCTAAATTCCTTCATCGTAGACGGATAGCAAAAGCTTTCAGAGGAGCCTCAGGTTTAGGGCGTACAGGTTCTAGAAAGCTTAGCAGCCTGAAGGAAATGAAGGAAATGTCCCAAACTCGTTTTGCTCCAGGTGTACAGAGGCTCAAGCGGGGAAGTTCAGATATTTGAACGTACCCAGCGCCATCAACTTGCCCTCACGTCTTACCTCCCTCCTCTCTCTCTCCCCCATCTCTCCTGCTCTTTGTGTATTCCATGTGAATCCGCTGTGGTATGTTATCGCCACCATGACCTCCAAAAATTTCATGTCTACTGCCTACTGAGTTGCATTTGGAGCCTTAACAAAGACACAGAAAGGATGAGAAAAGACACGGATGCATGGAAAATGGATGAAAATGGCTTTGGTTCAGGGCCTTGAACCGCTAGATGATTATTTAGTACAAGAAGGGGCCTTTATGGACCCCACATAGTGGGATCTTTGTTTCAAGGATCCTGAGATAAAGGAGACCAAGTTTCAAGAATCTCCCAAATGATGCAACCGACAGCTCGCCAAGCTTGACAGGAGTGCTCTGAATCTGAGCTGTGGGATAACGGTGTGGCTACAGCGATCATTCGGAAGGCCGGGGCATGGCGTGCGGTACTACCCCACCCTTGAAGTTTGTATTTCGGCATAGGGCTGCGCTCCCCTTGAGGGTTTAGGGTTTCGAAACTACGATATGCCGTCGACATCCGGAGAGGGGGATGCGCCATTGCGGCCTGCATCGATGTAAAATTAAAGAGTTTCTGGATTTGGGCTTATGGAGGGTTTGTGATGGCTAGTAATCAAGAGACTCTGCCACTGATCGGCGCCCTAAACCCTGTACCAAACTCGAATCTGAAAGCTCCGCCAAAGCCCCAAGACGCTAAGCCCGGAGGCATCGAGAGTATCTGCCCCATGCATCCTAAGCCCGGAAGGCATTGGCCAACCCGGCTAGGCAGAATTAAACCCTGAACCCTAAACACAAAAAATCCAAAATTTCAGCTTGTTCGAATTTTAACTACGCAAACAAATAGCCCAATTTCGACCACATTTGCACAGCGTTCAAAAGGCCCTGCACCCTCCGCAAGCCTAAAGCCGTAATGTAGAAGCCTCAATATCAATTTCTGTCCTGATAAAAACTTATACTACGAAGGCGCCCAAAACCCTATTCCAATCATTAAGGCCCCTGCATTATGCCCTGCGTTCTAAAGGCCCGAAGCCCTAAACCCTAACCTCGCCTGGCTTGTCCGAGTGTGAGCGATTAAAACCTAAAATGCACCCTAAACCCTAACAGAAACCCTAAACCCTAAACCCTGAGACGTATCATGCCAACATCCAAGGGCTGCTTCCAATGAGTTGTGGTTTGGCTATCATTACTGGATACTACCAGAGCGCGTGCGCCAGTGTGAGAGTCGAAACCCTGAATTTAGGGTTTGAGGTTTTCGGGTTTCAGATCGCGAAGTTGGAAAAGGGCGTTTGCAAGCAAAAAACAACAGCAAGTTAGAAGAGCTATTACGGTTAACAAGTTCCTCTGCAGCCAAAGGAACGGAGCCAGATTTACGACAACCACAGCAAGAACAATCTGTTCTTTCGTATTCTCAGATTGCTGACGCCTGACAGAAACTCCAAATCCTAAACCCTAAACCCCACACCCTAAACGGCCTAAACCCTGAACCCTAAGCCCTAAACCCAAACAAAAAACTGAAGTGATCTCAGGCCGACCAGTGCCTCAGCACCAAGGGCGACTCTTCTGGCTTGATGCACGTGGAGTGCAACGCGACCCTGGGATTTTCAAAGTCGCTGAAAACCCCAAGTAGGGCTTGGGGTTTGGGGTTTAGGGTCGAGAGTTGGGGTTTAGGATTTTGGTTTAGCGTTTAGGGGTGTAGGGTTTAGGGTGTAGGGGTTTAAGGGTTTAGGCATGCAGTCATCGGACACTTCGGACGAAAGTTCGGGCGAAGCATACATCTGCAATTAGCAGGGAGCACACGAAAAGATCACATCTAGGCTTGCCGCGTTTAGGGTTCAAGGTTCAGGATGTAGGGTTTAAGGGTCTAAGCCCAAGCCACAAACTCTAAGCCCTACAGTTGGGGTTGGAAGGGTTTTGGGTGTCGGGCTATGGGTTTCGGGTGAAAGGTTCATAGGGTTTAGAGTTTAGGGCTTGGGGCTTAGGGCTATCGTATCGGGTTCAGGTGGGTTTGTTTCAGGGGCTTGCAGGCTTCTGATAGTGGCTCTCATAGCCTGCACTGAGCCTACACCCGTAGAGTGAAGTTTCGAGGGACCCATGCAGAACCACCCGCGGCTACTGTAGCCAAACCTTGAGCCCTACACCTGCAAAGAGCGAGACGACTCCCGTACGAAATAGAAGCAGGATGCTGATCAGGACAATTCGGATAGTTGGGGTACCGGTTGGGCCCCCTTGCGCACCCCCATCGGGTCACCTCTCAGGACGAATGCTGCGCAGCATCTGGAACCGGCGGAGCTGCCGCTTCGTCTATCAGGGAATGGATAGTAGGGAGGCCGAAATCCTAAGCCCTTAAACCCTAAACCCCCAAACCCTCAACCCGTAAATCCCTAAACAAAAAACCCTCAATTGCGGTTCTTTTCGGGGTGTATGATCTAGGCTGCAGGGTTTCAAGACTGAAAGAATATTTGGAGGATTTGGGCGCTGGTTTAGGGGGTTAAAGTTTTGGGTTTCGGGTTGAGGGTGTAGGGTTTTGGGTGTAGGGTTCAGGGCTTAGGAACCCCCAATCCCTAAATCCAGAAACCCCAAAGCCCACGAATTCAAGCTTCTTTCCGGCTTGGTTGTAGCTGCCTGAACCCAGGAGGCCACGAAGTTCTAGACTCGAAATCCCAATATCCAAGATTCTAAACCCCAACACCTAAGCTCCTAAGACATCCTAAGACGCTGAAAGGCCGACAGACATGTGGCATCTCCACATCGAGGCGGATGAGCGGACTCAGGTGCCTCGGATTAGGGTTTAGGGTCTTTGGGTTTAGCGGTTTAGGGTTGTATTTCGGGTTTCGGATTCGGGCGGATTGAGGTTTAGGATTAAGGTCTTAGGGCCTACGGTTGGGATTCGAAGTTTCGGGGTTTAGAGTTGAGGGTGGTGGTTGTCCTTAGTAGTGGCGGCGGTGGGTTTGGGGGGTCCAAGTGCTGTAGATTTCTTTAGGCTTCAAGGGTTTATCGCAGATCAGGGCTTTATGTGTAGGTTGGATGCAGGTTTTTGTTTGCAGTGCACATTGTTTGCTTGAATTGATATTGACCGTTTGGGTTTGGGGTACCAGGAGCTGAGGCCTCCGTTTCACTGCGTGTTGTGACCGTCGCTGATAAGATTCCGAGCTTGTTTGATAACATCTCTAAATTCAGGTTGGGACAGGGTCCTACCGTTTCACACGTGCTCCCTGATCGCCCAAACCCTGAGCTCCAAACCAGTTGAAGTGTGGCTTGAGTTTGCGGCGTCGTGGGTTGACACATCGTTGGACGTTTAGGGTTGTCGTGGCCGTGGCCACCCGGAACCCCAAACCCTAAACCCTTGCCTCGCCCGCTTATGCCAGTGTGAGAGTCGAAACCCTAACCCCCGAACCCTGAACTCTAACACGGCCCCCCCCTTAAAAATCTGGCAATGGGGGGGGGGTAACCCCCAGCGCCGCCTATTTCCGGGGCTGCGCGCCGCTTATTTTGCAACAGTGGGGGGGGGTAGAAAAATAAGCGGGGAATTATCGGTTAACTTAAGTTATGGGGCTGCCTGTCATGTTAAACAAACAGCATGGGATGTAGAGCCCAACTCATTCCTTTCGACGAGGAGTTTAGAGGATAGGGGCTGAAGGCTTAATTAAGGGGTTCCAGGTTTGGGTTCGGTTGAAGGGTTGGCGTCTTGAGGATGTAAAGAGGTTGAGTCTTTGGGCTTCAGGGTCCAGGGCTGGTTTGGTGAAGGATCAGTTCCTAAATTGTCCTGCGTAGCTGTGCACATAACTTAGTCATGCGTTTGTTTTCCTATGTTCAAACTAGATTCGCAAACACAGGCATAGCATTGTTCCCTCGGCCTAACACAGAATATGAAGGGCGCTTTACAGGAGTCTCGCAATCTTGGGAGGGGTAGAGGGCAAGTGAGAAACAGGCGCGCAGGGCATGCTTTGCACTCCTTTACAGATCGATCTCTGACTCTAGGACTCCACCCGAGCATCCCAGGGTCCCACAGGGGCATGCTGGGGATCCCACAGACGGCTGGAAACAGGTGGCGGGGGGGTGGGGGGGTTGCGGTGGGTCATAAAGGGCAAGGCCTGTTGCACGCTACAGTCCCCCCCCCTCCTTCCCGCTTATTTCTTTCTTGTCCTATGGGTCCCACAAAGGTCCCACAGACAGCCAGAAATAGGCGGCGAGCCGGGGCTGTGGGGGTGGGTGGTAGAGGGCAGGGCCTCTTGCGCGCTACAGTCCCCCCCCCGCCTTCCCGCTTATTTTTGGGGTGTTCCCGATCCCATAGGGGTCCCACAGACAGCCAGAAATGCCAGAAACAGGCGGCGAGGGCGGGGGTTTGGGGTGGGTCATAAAGGGCAGGGCCTCTTGCGCGCCACAGTCCCCCCTCCTTCCCGCTTATTTTTGGGGCGTTCCCGGTCCCAGGGTCCCACAGACAGCCAGGAAACATCCTAACAGTCGCACAACACGTCCCACGGACAGCCAGACAGGGACTCTTGCACGCTACAGTTAGTCCCCTTCCCCCGCCCTCTGCAGGTGGGATAAAGGCTTCCCACGCGCATGCCAAATGGGCGGGGAAGGCGAGGGGGTTTTGGGGCGGATAGGCACAGCCCACATGTGACAGCTCGTCCCTCTTGTGTCTGTTCCGGAACCTGCTGCAACACGATGGCGGGTGAAACTCATTGAGGTCTTTCGAATCTCGCCCGCCGTCGTGTTGTAGGTTCAGGAACAGACACAACAAAGGACAAACTGTCACATGTGGGCTGTGCCTAGCCAGTTTGGGCGAGCAACACTCCCGGGGCCACACTTCACAAACTCAATTTGGCCATGAAACGTACAATCAGGATCGAGGTTCCAAATCAGACACGCAGCAGACACAGACGCCGGTGAAGACAGCTCGCGCTAAAATGGTTTCTGTCCGAGTGCCTTTCTGAGAGAACATGCCTTGCTACAGTCCCCCTCCCCCCCCGAAACCTTAAAAAAGCGAAATACACGGGCCGCCTATTTCCGGACCACCCCCCACCCCCACCCCCCCACAAGGGGGGGGCACTACTCTAACCCTGACCCTGAACCCCAAACCCTAAACAATCAACCCTAAACCCTAAACTCTAAACCCTAAACCCTAAACCCTAAACCCTAAACCTTGAACCAGGACCTCCACATGCCCTTCTCCTCCTACTGTGGCACCAGTGGCGCGCTGAGCAGTTTGGACTTCGGCCAGCTCTTTGCAGGTGCGCCCGTAGTTTTTCCCGAAGACTCAAAACCTTCGACCCTAAACCCCAAGCCCTAAGCTCCCAAAGGGGGGACGGACGTGCGTCCCAGCTGTGAAAGCGCTGTAATAAACCAACATGGCGTCGGCTCGAAGCTTCAAGAACCCGTGGCAAATCAGCCTATAGAGGGTTCGGGTTCGTGGTTTAGGGTTTGGGTTTAGGGGTTGAGGGGTTAGGGTCGGAATGTGGCGGTTTTAGGGTTTAGTTTTGTGTTGGGCTTTTTCACAGCTTTTGGCACCGGCTTTGAGAAGGAGGAAGCTTTCGCAAGAACATGCAGTGGGGGGGTGGAAAGGAGGGATCTTGACGCAGGATGGTTTCGGGGTTGAGGATTTCTTTCAGGATCAGGATTCAGGGTTTAGGGTTCCGGGAGGCCTTGCAACCTTACAGCCTAGAAACGCCCTACACACAACACACCCTCCTGGGGAGTATGAGAGGGACTCCCACACCCTGAGAACCCTAAAAGGCCTGAAAAGGCCCTACAACCCTCAAACCACCCAAAAGTCTTGGGGCCTTCCCCAAAATTTTCAGGGCCCCCCCCTTAACAGGCGACGCGGGAAGCCAGACGACATGCAAGTTCGCACCACTGATCCAGCTGCTTGATCTGGGTTGGATTTGCAAGGGAGGACCCTCCACCCTAAACTCTGCAGCTTTAGGGATGTAGGGTTAAAAAGGGGTTAGAAGCCCCATGACCGTAGCCCTACACACTTAACCCTGTTTTTGGGATTCGGAGGGTCTAGGCTTCAGGGTTTTGAAGTGCACTTGTCTGATTTCCGCAGGAAAGTGGCTTCCAGTGTAGGGGTTCAGGGTTTTGGGTTTAGGCCGATCCAGTTTAAGGACTTCCTAAGCTCTAGAAGGATCAGGGTGCAGGGGTCGAGAAACCAAGACCCCAAGCTCTAAGCCCATCATTAAGGCGTATCGCACGGCCGTCAGAGACCTCCCACCGGAACAGGACGACAGGTAGAATATTTTAATAATGAAGGTCTTTTCAATAATCTTCGTAGTAGTAGAAGTGTTTGTATTTTCACTCAACCTCCCAAGCTCTCACTTCTCGAGGTTCGGTTCCTTCGTGGATACTGGCATCGTACGCTGGAAGACCACCACCAACTGGCCGGATTGGCACCACCTCCTCGCGGAGAACTACGTTGAATGCGCCTGGATCTCCCCAGCTTTAGGGGTCTTTCAAGGGATCAACCCTAATCCATGAACCTAAACCTTAAACCCTTAACCCTATAACCTAAAACCTCAACACTCAACCCCAAAGCCTAAACCCTAAATCCTGAAACCTCAACACTAAACCCTAAAGCCGTACACCCGAAAACCTAAACACAAAACCTAAAGCCTAAACCCCTGAACCCTAAACCGATTTCCTGGCTCTTGTTGCGGGATGTTAATGCTAAGCCTGTGTCCTGACTTGCACCATTCTTGAGCAACGATTGCAGCAACGATGTCGGTGGCAAAATTGCTGGGGTAATACAGGGTCGGAATAATTGATTACTGGTTGCCGAGATTACCCCTTAGTGTTCCCGTTTAGAATTCTACTACGATATACACCCAAACCCTAAACCCTAAACCTAGAGAGTTTTACTATTATTGTGATTAATATTTTTATTATTGGTATTGTTATTGTTAGTGTTATTGTTATTGTTATTGTTATTGTTAATAGCTGTCATTGTCATTTTATTACTTTCATTGTTAAAGGCACTGTTTTACTCACATTAGTGCCCGTACGAGCTCGCTTTGAACTCACCCTTGGTGGTTTGGGGACCGGGCATCGAGAATTTAGGGTCTTAAGGTTTGGGGTTGGGGTCTTAAGGTTTAGGGGTTAGAGTCTTAAGGTTTAAATTTAAGGTGTACGGTCTAAGGTGTACTGTCAGGGGCTTAGGGTTTGGAACGCAGGTTTAGGTCAACCGTTCCCCCTATGACCTCAGCATTTTAAGCCTTAAGCATGAAAGTCTCCCCCCAAACCCTCACTCTTAGAGTGGAAAGCTTGAGCTCTATACCTTGAATCCTCATCCCTTTAAGATTCTTGACCCTTCAGTGGGTTGTCCCGAGGTGCATCGGGCGAAGCCTTGACTGCCTTCAAGTTGGACGCTGCCAAGTGCCGCGGCACCAAAGATGAGAACCAGATGCGTAGAGGCCAGAAAACAGTATTGTGGTGTGGGGTGTATGGTTGAGGGTTAGAACTCATCAAAATTGATTATCCGCTATAGAGGGGTTCCTGTGTTGAATTCAGACGAATGTTCGGCTCTTGGAATGGCTTCGGGGAAGATGCCCACCATAAGAGCCTGTAAGGGATCCTGAATCCAACTCGGAGCTCTTAAGTCCTTAAATCTTAATGCCCCAAAGCCTTGAACCCCAAAGCTCTAAGCCTTGAAGCCCTAACCCCTAAAACTCTACACACCCCTAAAGCCCTGAGCCCTTAAACTCTAAGCCTTTAAGCCCTAAGCCCTACACCGTAAAACCTTCTCGATCCCACCTCAAGAAGGCCCACATCTGCATGTTTCTGCACAGTATATGTACGAGTCTACATAATCTACATATGTGTACATGTATATTTTTGCTTATATGGGTGTATATGTTTGTATAGATTCAGATTAAATGTGTGTATGTATATATATATATATATAGATGTAAATGTTCACGTATGCGTATATGCATACGTATACGTATACGGTTATGAACATGAATATGAAGATGAGTCAATAAGCATATGAAGATGACTTTGAGTTTGAATATGGACATGTTTGTGTAGACATTGAGAAAGAGATAACACGGGATACATACAGCACCCCAAGATCACACCATGCAAATTCGTGCAGTACAGGTGCAAAGCATACCTGCAAGAGTCCGGCGTTGCTTCAAGTGGCGGGGTGAAGATGAGGAGGATTGCAAGCGAAGTTATGCGAGCGCTGCATGATAGGTGACGAGGGGGTTTGGGGGAGCACCCTGTGTGTCGGGATGTAGGGTTTGCAAAGTTTCAGCTACGAGGATATCCCTAAACCTACGGAGCTGGGGAGAAAAGGTTCTCATGGAGCTTGTTATAGGGTTTGGAGGTTGATTTAGGCAAGAGCTTTGGGCCCACAATCCTCTGCCCCCAAAGCATGACCGCCATGCGAAATTTGGTCAAGGTGCTTTGACGAGGTGGCTGCTAAGCCCTAAACCCAAAACTGTGAAACCGGCTTGTGGGGTTTGGACGGAAGCTGAATCCACGAAGACGAGACCCAGAGCCCGAACTGTCTACGGCTGAAAGCTGCTAAAACTGACAGCCGTGATGTGGGCCTCCGCTACTTGGGCTTTGCCTCGCTTTGAGAAGTTCTCGCTTAGGGGTGATTCCGCACATTGCAAGGTCTAGGAGTGTGCGGTTTCGTTCGGTGTTTCGGGCTTCCGGCTGCTCAGGAACATCTACAAGTACGAGTGCAGCAAGATCGGCATCCCGCCTTGGCGGTTTCGGGTGTAGAGTCGGTTTTTGCAATTAAGCACCGCAAATGCAGCACCTTCACACTAGGATACTTGTTAAAGACTTGATTGAGGACTCGACACTTTCAGAAAGCCCCATGTACAACCTAAACCGAAAGCCTTTGGATGGCTGCTTGGAAGCAAGCCACCGATCAGCGGTAGATGTACGAAGGAATCTGTGCATATACCCTTGCCCGCTGTAGGTAGATGTACATATACGCTATATATATATATACATATCATATAGCTAACCCCCCCCCCCCAAGACCTACCCCGCACGATTCCAAGAGCAAACCAAAAAAAAACAAAAAAAAACAAAAAACAGCAAAAACAAAAAATCGGAGGGCCTGGCCCAAACCAAAAACACAAAAACAAAAAAAAAGCCATAAACACCAAAAAAACTCGGAAAGCCTAGCCCAAACCAAAAAAAAAAAAGAAACATTCCGAGGGCCTGGCCCAAACCAAAAAAAATCAAAAATAAAAGGGCCCGGGCCGTGGTTCCAAAATTTGGGTGTTTTTTGTGTTTTTGTTGGTGTTGTTTTTGGTGTTTTTGTTTTTTTTTGGGTTTGGGCCAGGCCCTCCAAAACTTTTGTTTGTTTTTGGTTTTTGGTTTTTTTGTGTTTTTGTTTTTGTTTGGCTTTTTGGGTGTTTTTGTTTTGTTTTTTTTGGGCCATGCCCTCCGAAACTTTTGGGTTTTTTTCAGGTCACGGTCTCCCGAAACCCCAAAAAAGCATTTGGAGACGATGGCCCGAACCCAGGGGACTAGTCTCCCAACTTTTATTATTTTTTTTGGTGTTTTTTGGGGGTTGCGGAGACTGTGCCATGAATGTTTCTTAGATTCTGCCTCTTCTTTGCATTCCATAGGAGGAAAGCCTTACAAACATTGGCATTTCTTGGGAACCCAGCTTGCTTGTTGATTGTAATTCTCTTCGCGTTTTTCTCAGAAAATGCCCATGTTTGTGGGGCTTGCCTCCGATAGGATTCAAAGAACTAGTACAAAGTGGAACCGTTGGGACGGCGTGGGTGGGGTTGTGGTGAATCTTGATTTTCTTGCATCACTCCATGCACGCGAATACTTCCAAGTTCCCTACAAGCAAAGGCATCTCCAACCCTCAGTATCAAGAAATGATATTTGCTCACAGTATTCTCGCACCCCGGGCTTACGTATAATGTTTTTACATGTCACTCTATGCCCTCCAATACTTCTTCGTCTTATGGTTTGAGGATTAACATCCTTTGTTCTCGATTATCTTGCCGTTTATCTGCATTTGAGATCCAATACATATTGCCCTGTATGCATATATGACGTGGGTAGTTCTTTTACCTTTTCTTTGTGTTTCCATTGCAGTGTCGCACCTCAGGCTTCTCTTTTGCGTTTATGGAGAGGTTGGTCTTGAGGTAGGTCTTGGGGGGGGGTTGCCATATGTGTATATATATATATATACATTTTTTTTAAAAGTTGTGTGTGTATTTAAGTCTGTTTATGTATGCATGTATGTGTGTAGGTAGGTAGGTAGGTAGGTAGGTAGGTAGGTAGGTATGTATCTAGTTGTTGTGTTTATGTGTGCATGCACGTTCGTATACCAACTGACTTGTGCATTTTCAGAGGTGACCTAATGAAGACTAGACGGATCGATGAAGGTCTCTTCTTCCCACTCTTCTCAAAGGGCTCTTAAGATCTTCAGGTTCAAAATTTATACCCGAAACTTCACACACCGCATTCGAACAACAAATTGAACCCGAAAGCGCACCCAAAGACCGCCCCCCCAAGCCCTGATCCCAAGGTGGACTGGGCGCCTGCTTTGACTACTACAGCGCCCAAGTGGAGATTGCCAGTTTCTTGATCTCAGGTGGTTAGGGTTTTCTCTTTGGGGCTTCAGAGCTTTAGGGGGGTTTAGGGGGTGTGTGTGTGTCGGAGGGATTCAGGACTTTAGCGGTTTGGAAAATTGTGGTTTGGGCATTTTTTGTGGTTTAGGACTTAGCCTTCAGGGCGGAAGTAGTGTGTCCTTTTTTGTTGTGACCCCGCCGGGTCTTTTTGGTTGCTGTGAGTGACGCAGGCGAACTTGGCTAGGGCAAGGACTTAGTATGTGGGCCGTGCCCTCATGTCGTTTTTGTTCTGGAGGCTTCTCCTCCATTTCGGGCAGCCTGTGAGTCTCAAACCCACCACGAGCCTCAATCTCAATCGCCTCTTTAGGGTTTATGTCTACAATCGTCTGTACGGCATTGAGACGGTCGCAAGAACAGTGCACCTGCCCCCTTTTGGGCCGGTCGTGCCCTCACGCCCTGACTCCTGCATCGCCTGCTCAGCACAGACATTTTTGTGGCCCGCCGAAAAACTATTGGCTCGCCGTGTTCGGCAGGGCCGGAGCAAAACAAAAACAGGCACCTGACTACTGTGTTTTTTTTGGGTCGTCCCGTCGGGAAAAAACCCGGCGGGCCAAGAACAAAAACGTCTGGTTAACCACATCGGGTCTAAACGGGGCCACAACAAAAGAAAGCACTCTGGGCGCCCGGGACGGACAGCAAAGCAACTCCTGGGACCAGTGACACGGGGCCGGAGCAAAAAGGGGCCACAAAAAAACAAAAAGCACCCTTGCCCTTCAGGGCTTCAGGGGTTTGTGACTGTGGGGCCTCTGGGATTGAAAGGTTCAGGGCTTGAACGGTTTCAGGTTGAGGCGTTCGCAACGGGCTCAGGCTTTCGGGAATAATACTTGGAGGCCCAGGGGACTTAGTAAAGTGGGTTATAAGTGGGTTATTATGTGTTATTGTTGGGGTAACTCCATTTAGGGTACTTGTATTGTAACTCTACTTCCAACCTTCTTGCTCAGTCCCCTGGGCCTCCAGGTAGGGCCTATCGCAGGTGCTGGTTTCCTATTGTTGCTTCCTTGCCGGTCTCATTTGGTTCTGCCCAGCCCTTGACGATTTGTGTGAGGGCCGTCTAGGGATGCGAGCCATAAGCCCCGAACCACTCCCTCAATCCGCAACCCTACTCAACCCAAAGCCCTGAAGCCGAAATCCTAAAGCCTGAATGTCACCGAAGCCTTACACCCTGAGAACCCTAAGCCTTAAAGCCCCAAACCTGAAGATCGAAACTCTAAAGCCCCCCAAGCCTGAAGATCTAAGGCTTAAACCGAAGATGTAAACCCTAAGCCAGCTTTGATGCTTGCTTTATAGTAGAAGCCGTAAAGTTGGAACATGATAATCCTCATGCCCTTCAAGTAAAGTATATGGAATCCTAGGACTAATCACCCCCAACCAGTTTTCCAACTCTCTGGGGTTCGCTTTAGTCCAATCTGGGCTTCTCGCGGTCTCTTTGTGACATCTACGATTTCGGGTTTAGGGGTTTCAGGGTTTTGAGTTTTTGGGTTTAGGGTTGGAGAGTTTTTGGGTTTGGGGGTTTAGGGGTTTAGAGTTTGGGGTTTAGGGTTAGGGTCTAGGGTTGTGACTGTTGCGCTGCTCCGCCGGAACTTAGCTGCAGGGTGGTTCGGGGTTCGGGTTGAACCCCAAGCCCCAAATTTTCATCCCTACTCGGCCCTAATCCCTAAACCTCGAGCGAGGCTTCGAGCAGTCGATCCACCACTGGCACCTCGTCCAAAAACGGTCAACGGTCGGAAGACCTGGTGCCTGAGACCACCCGCCTTAGGGCCTAATGTAGGGGCTTAAATAACTTCTACTATTTCGAGGGTTCCTTATCATAACTACAGGGTCCAGCAAACTCAGCAGGTGTCGACGACGGCGAGTCATCTCTGAGGGTAAGCGTTAAACCATAAAGCCTAAACCTTCAACTTTTCAACCCTTGACCCTAAACCTTAACCTTAGACTCCAATCTTAAAATCCCGAACTAAGTGAATCCCAGCGAACCGAGGGCTGACCCGATGCGCATGATGCCCGTGAGCTGCGGGCAGAATGCCGTTCTGGGCGGCTTCCACTTCGAGTTCTCAGAGGGCGGCAAGTGGGGTCGGGTGCGAACCTTGCCTGGGTTTAGGGTTTCGGGTCCAGGGCTTAGGGGAACCTTGCTTGGGTTTAGGACTGAGGGCAGCCTTGCCTGGGAATACCGAAAGGCTTTACCCCCGACAACACCGAAAGCCTAAACTCCTCGGCCCGAGAAACCTAATCCTAAAAGCCTCCTGACCTTTCAATTTCGTGGTTTCAGGTGTCTAGGGTCTTCATTCAGCATGCTTCTGGGAATTTGCATCCAGGGTGTCACCATCAGTGGAGTCCCTATGTACGTATAACGTGTTAGGTCCCAAGATCCTCTGCGTTAGAACCCTTATCGCAACCACGTCGTAGCCCTTTCAAACCCTGTCGCACGAGACCCAAAGTATGTCATTGTTCTCTTGTTAGAACCAAAGTCCCTGATTGGGCCTCTATAAAGCCAAGCGTTCGGTATGTTGGGGCACCTTCAACACCCCCATACCCTTACAGAACCCCTTATTGAAACCTTATTATAAGAAACTTGTAAGAACCCCATCTTACCCGACGCTCTTTTCAGGTTACCAGTGCTGCAAAGCCGGAGGGGCACCCGTGAGCTTCGATCCAAGGGGACAGCTCCCCGAGCTGGTTGGTGGCTTTGGCGAAAGTTTAGATCAGAGTGGAGGGTGTAGGGCATAGGGTTTAGTGGGGTTTCGGATGGAGGGTTTCGGGTTCAGCGGTTTGGGTTTTGGGTTTGCTTCGTAGCTTTGTTTGGCGTTGTGTTTTTGGGGTTGCACAAGGTTTTCCATTTTGGGCTTTAAAGGGTTTTGTGCTGGCATGTGCTGGCCGTGCTGGGCCCAGTGTTTTTGTTTTGCCTAACGTTGGACCTGGCTTGTTTTCCTTGGTAACGTTGGCCCCAAATCTCCTGGTCCTCTGGTCCCCTGGCCCTTTGGTCCCTTGGTCCTCTGTCCCTTGGTCCTCTGGTCCTGTGGCCTTCTGGTCCCTTGGTCCTCTGGTCCTACGGTCCTCTGGCCCCGTGGTCCTCTGGTCCTCTGGTCCCGAGGTTTCCTGGTCCCGCGGTCAGATTTTGATTGTATTTATGTGTTTTTGTACTAATAGTAGAATAAGTTCTGTAGTATAACATAATATACTGGAATACGTGATAATATATATATATATAGACAATATACATATATTATATACAAAAAGAGTTTATAAGATTATAAAATATCAAATAATATCATATAACTATTTTGTATATGCTCTATATGTATCTACATCATATAATCTGAGTAATATATTGAGCTACAACATATAGTTTATGAACATATTATATAGTAAAGACTATATATGTGTATATATATATATATATGATTAAACAGCACATTATTTTGGGGGGCCGGGCAAGCTTGCTTCAAAGCGTACGAATTTTGCAAATGGGGGAGGGGGGGGTGCCCCCCCCCCCCCCCCCCCCCCCCACCCCCGCTGTTTTTAAGCCGGGCAAGCTTGCTTTGAAGCATATGAACCCCTTCCAAACCCATGATGCGAGCATTGTCTTTGCAAAATATACATTAAGACACAATAAGATACAATCAAGTACAAGAATATGCAAGAATGCAACATATTTACAATGATATACAAACATACACAATAATGTTCAGTTACTAACAAAAAGTACATTCATATACCAGGATACGCAGTAGTTTACAATAAAAAGAATAACTTACAAGAGTATACAACAATATACAATAGTATACAACAATAAACAACAATAAACAACGATATACAACGATACGCAATAATATACAATAATCTACAATAATTTACAAGAATAATCTGCAATCTTATGCAGTCATATCCAAGAATATTCAAAAACATAAAATAAAATACACAAATTTACAACATTATACAATAATGTACAGGAATATTCAATACTATACAATAATATACAATCATATGCAATAATATACAATAATTATTAAGGTGCATATTTTCAATAATATACAACAATATATAGTGATATACACAAACTGAGAATAATACGCAATAATAGTACTAATTTACAGTAATATACAGTAATATTCAATCATATACAGCAAAATATACAATAATATACAAGAAAATACAAGACAAGGCAGTATTATTCAATGATATACAGCTACAATATTATACAAGCATATACAAAAACATGCTATAATATACTAGGATATACAACAACATGCAATAATGTACAATATTATGCAAGAGTGTTATGTATAAGAAGTTACACTCGTAGAGAAAATACAATAATATTCCATAATAACAAGACTATTGAAGAATATACAACAATATACAAGAATGTAAGAAAAACGTTCAATAATCCGCGACAATACACACTAATAAACAAGAATATACAAGAATGAAATAAGATACAATTATATACCAGAATATACCGTAATATACATTCAAGAAAGAATAACTTACAATAATATACAATAATATACAATAATATACAATAATTTGCAATAGTATACAATAATATACTATACAAGAATATACAAAACATTCAATAAAGCGCAACAATACACCCCACTCAAGAAGAATCTACAAGAATGAAATACTATACGCGGATGGTTAATAATATCAATAACATACAAGAATATACAATCATGTACAATAGTGCAACACTAGAATAACAATATACAAGAATGACATAATATACAAGAATCGTTAAGAATATCAATAGCATACAAGAATTTACAATCATGTTCAATAGTGCAATAATAGAATAGCGTAAAAATGCGGCATTTTTCATCATTTGGAGCCTGCAAGCAGGCACAAATGCTGCAATCTACAGCATTTAGAGCTTTGGAATGAGCAGAAGCGCTGTGTTTTTAAGCGTTTAGGGCCTACAAGCAACCAGAAATGCTGCATTTCATAGCATTTAGAGCCAGGAATTGCTGGGCCACATTAGCAAGGAGCAAGGAAAACGAGCCAGGGGCAACGTTAGGAAAAAAACACCTCCGCCGTCCTGGCCTTGGCTAACTTTGATAGCCTAGGGTAGTTAAGGAGCGAACAGGGTTTTTGACGACCGAGGGCTTTCTAGCTGTGTTTAAAGGTTTCGTTTTAGGGCTGGCACTAGCTGGTGGAACAAAGATTTGCTTTGAGCGTGTACACTGTTTTCAGGTGACCTAGGCAAATCTTGTCCTGCCAAGTCGAGCCTTTACTGGGGTTCTGTTTTAAAGACAGAATGCTACGCCCTTGTTGTCCGTGTAAATTTCTGTCATATTTCCCCAAACCCTATTCTAATACTTCAGGATAGCTAAACGCGTAGCCTTATTTTTGGGAGCTGGGGCCGGGGCTTTGGGTGAAGAAGCCCCAAACCCCAGTTGTCGCGTAGTGCAACGGGTGAGGCGGCTACGATGGCATCTACTGCCCCAGTGGCCGGGATTCCCACAGCGGACGCGTGCAGTTCGCCCCTTTTCTGGAGAGTCGAGCTGTAGTGAACGAGCCGGAAGAAGACCGCCAACCAACTTGCCCCTGGGAGTAGTAGTTTAGGGCCCCCAAAAGCACATACGCAAAACATAGGATAGGGATATCCCATATAAACTCCCTTATAATGAAGCTCAATAAGGTAGGGACATCCCCGTAAAAGGCTTATGCCTATGTGCTTTTTGGGTCCTCTGGTAGTCTCTAAGAACCCACGGCCTCTCAGCAATAGCGAACCGGTGAAGCCGAGAGTCAAACCTCAGGGCCCTTAAACCCTAGATCCTGAACCCCAAATCCTACACCCTAAACTGCCCCGGCTGTGCAGGAGGGAAAAAAACCCTAAACCCTCTCTGTCTAATCCTAAACCCTAAACGCTTCGACCCCGAAACGACACAGCCAAACAAGCCTGCTCTCTGGACTTCCAGCTGCCTGCAACCTAAGCCCTAAACCTAAACCCCAGAAGCCTGTAGTAGACAACAAAACGACGAATTGACACTAATCCTCAAGCTTAAACCCAAAAGCCTCATACCGGAAGCCTCAAAATGCACCCTTTTTGCCGTTCCTCCTCCGCAAGGTAGGGGGGTCTGGTCTCACCTTGTCCTTCAAGCGCAGCTCTGGCTCCCTGGCGGGAGAAGCTTTCGTGTTATATCAGGGTATTTTGGGTTTCGTTTAGGGTTTGGGACTTTGGATTTATAGGGTTTAGGGATGAGGGGTTTGGGGTTTAGGGTTTGGCTTTAGGGTCCTGGCGTTTTGGTTAAGACTTCCGCTCCTTCGCGAGCCCATGTCGGCGACGCCTTTTCGGGTTTTGTATAAGTCCGACTGGGTTTTAAATTTAGGGTTTAGATTCAAAATCGAATTTTGAGGCCCCGTATTAACCTCCAAAGCCGTAAAACCGGAACCCCAAGCCTGGAACGCAACGGTGGGGTTTATGAGGATATGTGTGAACTCAAAGCCCTAAACCTCCGAAGCCCTAAACCGTAAGATGCCGTGTGGAGTCTTTTTTATGATCCATATATTCACTAAAGAAAGCCCATTTTGGCTTCCAATCAAAGACCGCGCCCCTGAGGCCAGTGGTGCGTGGAGTCGGAATGCTCAGAGGTCACGGACAGCGAGTCCCCCCTGGGCATGCAAGGCTTCAGACGGGGATTTCTGATGGTAGGTTGAGACGGTTTAGGGTTCAGGGTTCAGGGTGTCAAGGATTTGTGAGGTTGCCCCGGTTCATCCTTTACCGCTTTTGTGTTTGGAGCTGGTTTGCGAGAGGGGGCTTTATTGTGAAGGTGGGGTGCAGGGTCTTGCGGGGTCCATTCTCAGAACGGTTGCCCGTCCAATCCGAAGCCCATGCCCCAAGCTTCAGAACGTAATATAGCAGCCCAAATAAATATTCAATATAATTCCTGAAAGATCCTGATTATAAGTATAGTATAATTATACCCACACCCTAATCTAATTGTGAAGGCCGCTACATGACAGCTGAATCTCGACCTGCCCTCATGCCACAACACGGAGTGCTTTGGGGCAGCAAGACTGGACGTCCCTCCCGGGGTTGGGCGAGGTGTAGTTCTATTACCTACGGGGTCCCTATCGTTTCCCTGTGAAAGTAAACCCCAAAGCTCTGTTTGACACGCTTTTTAGAAGGCGCATATATTACAATCTTGGTTGGGCAATGGACCTCTGAAGCCGTAAGTCCTGTTGAATTGTGCGGGAGTGCTGATAAAGACCAAGAGCGGGACTGGTAGGGTGCTCTCCACTTTCTGGAGAATCTGCGAGTTTAGGGTTTCGGGCTTAGGGACCCCCATAAGCTCTGCAGAACAAGTGCTTTCAACTACCAACTTCGAAGCTCCTTCCCGTCTCAAGCCCTAAACCCTAAACGCTAAACCAGCCGGCAAGACCCCAAATGCCGAGCTTCCGGCTTGCCGTCCGGAAAATGCCTCTGCTTCAATGGACTGCTGCTAGAACTGAACCCCAAACCCCCAAACCCCCAAACCCTAAACCCTGATTGTTCGTTGTGGGTTCTGGGCGGTTTCGGATCTTGCACAGGTGCAGCCTTCGAAGTGGTCAATGTGAGCGACTTCAACGGCGAGTTCAACGGGCAGATGCCTAAGGAGGAAAAGAAGGCAGAGCGGCTTCTGCATGGGATTTCGGGGTTGATGGTTCGGGGTTGGGTTTAGAGTTTCGGGTCTAGGGTTGAGGGGTAGCTTCGGAATCCGCAGTGTAGTGGTTGCAGGGGAGTGCCCCAAGTTTGTTTTAAGGGTTGGGTCTAGGTTTGCCAGAGGATGCCTCTACAATTGTGTGAAGGTAAGTCTTGAGAATTGTGCAGTGATGTGGAATTAGAGAGAACACGCCGATGAAATGTAGAGCAAATGCATGGTAATAGGCTGGAAAGAGCATCGCAACCGAGGGCTTCAAGAAGGATTCTTTGGTTTCGGATTCTCGGGGTGTGCAGGGTTTAGGGCTAAAACCATGAGTGACTTGCCCAAGCCTCACTTAAACGCATGCTCATCGTGCTGCTTCTCTTCATCGTTGTAGTATCAGGGCCTGAATAACTAGAAGTGGACTTTGGGGTATGCGGGCGAAAGCCTGTCGAAGTCAATAAGTAACGAAGATGTCATTAGCATCCTCAGCAATAGTTCAGAGCACGGAACAAATCTACAACTTGCTGCAGATGGATCGCAGCAGTAAAAGCATAGCATCATATTTCTGTGACCAAAGGTCCAGAATCTGTACAGGAATATCATGCGACTTAGGACATCTACGTGTAAGATTCCTAGGTCCTAGGTTCAATCGAGTAATTGAGAAGTTTCTTGCAGCAAGCACATTCTTCAGCAGGAGCCCACACAGGTTCAAGCACATGTGTGCGGAAGTCATTTTCAAGAAGCTGGGAGTCTTTAAACCTGGTAAGTCTTTTGCAAGCGGCATTGAAGCGCTTAAGCGGTTCAGGCTTAGGTGGAGGGCACCGCGAATATCTTGCGCAGTCATAGAATTCCATTTTTCAAGTGTGACATGGGTGATGCAAGGGATGTTTCTGTGGAACCCTTCATTGCAATTATTACGGAGATCGAAAATCTGATCAACCCAAGGAAGGCGAAACTTAGAAGACAACGTGGGGACAGGCCAATCTTTAGACAGCGGAATGGTCATAAGGCTCGCGCTAACAAACAGTCCCAACCGCATTACAAAATTGGAAAGGGGTAATGCGGAGAACCTGCGAATTCACGCAATCCGACAGACGAGCATCAACACGAATGGTTTGTAGATCAGACGCGGCTTTCGTCAGATCCCAAGCAGGGATGAAGTAAAGACTCTCCGGGAATGCAGCTTCGGGCGGGAAAGTTTCAAGCCATTTAGCCTGTTTTTCATGACCCATTACGAGATGGCTAAGATCAGTATTATCGTCTTGATTTTGAAAAATGTTGGCAGTGAGAAGCCTAAATTTGTATGACGCCATGCCTACAAGTTGACAATCGCGAAGGAAACTTGCAGAAGAACCGCCATGCTGAACAAAAAGGGCAAGAGCTTGTGTCCAAGTTTTAATTTTCGTAGCCTGAACAGCTGCTTGATTAGTCCATTTAGTCCAAAAGCTAAAGAGGAGCGCAAAATCTTTAGAATTGCTGCCGCGTCTGTTCCATGAGGAGCGATTAATCGGGGGAGTCCATTTGAGAGAAATAGGGCAGACAGCTCTCCCAAGTGAAAGTTGCTGATTATAACTAAAGATGTTGCCGGCAACAAATAATGTGTCTGTGTGAGTTATGTTGTGCTGTGCGAACTGGTCATAGAAATCAGGGTTGCGGCACAACTCCATCCATTGCCAAAGCAGTTGAATGACATGAGCTGCAACTTTGGCCATGAGACACACGTGGCAAAACACATCTGAGTCGTACAAATCATGGCACAGCAAGAAGGCCATGAAGCACGATCCAACAGCTCACTCGGCCAGTGAACTCTCAGATTAGCAAATCTCGCGCAATCCCACATAATATGTTGGATAGTCTCCACTTCATGAAGACAAAATAGGCAATGCGGAGTCTGCCTGATGTTCATTTTGTGCAAGCCGTACGGTGTAGCGTTCTTATACGAACTGCTAGGCTCCAGCGAACGTAAAAGTTTAGTGGTGGCTTCAATATCGGTGTGAATGATCTCCTGCCATTTTGAATGCTTTGCATCAAGAGTTGAAAAATGTCGCTTCCAAATAAGCATCCTGATAAAATGTGCATTTTTTCTTTGTCGGCTCATAGAAGGAAATTTGACCAAACTCACGGTGCTTAAGAAGACCATCAGCAACATCCAACTCGCAATCAAGCCAATCAACATCTCTTTGCAAGATCGTGTATGGGCCAAACAGGGAGCTTTTGCATTGTGTGACATGTGCAGCAAAATCTTTAACTTGCAGAATCATTTGAGGGGATTGCATGTACACGCGCCTCCAGAAAGTGAGGTTGTGGTAAACCATGGCACTTTCAGGATCAAATTGATGCGTGCGCTCACAGAAGACTGCATGTGCAACCTGAGTTTGGCATGGCTTAAATGACGTGGCCTCGAAAAATTTTTATCGCAGATTATCAACCTGTGCTTTGGTAGGACGCGTTGCAGAAGACGGATAGCAGAGCGCGGGCAAAATTTTGCGCGCAACAACGGTAACGGCATTATCATGAGATATGTTGGATCTGACCAGCTTGTTGAGAACAACAAGACAATAACTATAATTCCGCAAAGTTGGCGCAAAGAAACTGGAAATGCTGCTACCTTGGAGAGGAATGGGAATACCAAGATAGGCCACTTCTTTTTGTCTGCTAACTTCGTATCCATCAAGTTAGCATCTTTTAGGTTGTTTCCAAAGGCCATAGTTTTTGCTTGTGTCTTGAACCCATGATGTGTATCCCACAACTGGGTTGCTCGAAAAGACTCTTGCAGTTGATTGCTGTCTTGGCTAATAAGAAGTCGATCATCTACAAAAACTGTTGCAAGCATCCTATCAGTGGGGATTTCAGAAGTCCACGCCGCTAACATGGAAGCAGCCGCAAGCATGCTTAAAGGGTCTCCTTGTGGAATTCCTTTTGTAGAATGGAACTTATGTTTAGACACAGCTCCATTCAATGAGGCGTAACGACAAATATTTTTGAGCATGTAGTGCCATGTGGCAACGACATTGATTGGAACACCAATGTGGACAAGGATGGCGCATGCCTTATCCTGCGGCACGCTGTCAAAGAATTTTACCGTATCAAAAGCTGCTCCTTGGATGACTGCCCGATGTTGAGGGTCAACCTTCCACGTGGAAAGACGTGGATTTTGGTGTATGTTATACTATTATTGTTATTTTTATGATAAGGAACGCTAAAGAACAGTGTTGGTAGTTCTTGGGGCTTCTATGTTAATTGTGCCACGTGTGGCTACCGTGTTGCCCACTACTACTCGGCAGAATATTCACCCTCCCTAAATCCCAAAACCCTAAACGCGACACCCGAAACCCTAGACCCCAAACCCTCTCGCTCCTGCCTGGGGTTGTCCTTTGATGCAGGGCTGGGGGTTGCTTGGCTGGTTGCACTAGCGTGAAGCCTGCGGCTTCAGAGAGTGCTTGCAGAAACACTCCCTAAACCCTAAACCGCGTCATCACCATGTTCACATCCATGTCATGGTCATAAGCACTGCCAAGCCCCGAAGCCCTCAAGCGCCTTCGGGGTTGGGGTTAGGGTATACGGTGTTGGGTCAAGTGTTTTAGGTTCAGGGTTTAGGGTTCACGGTTGAGGGGTTAGGGTGCAGGGTTTCAAATCCTAAACCCTGAACCCAAACCCGGAGACAGACTGATATAGGGGTCGGAACAGCGAAGAACAACATCCCTTGCAGTCAAATGAGAGTTGTAGTACAATTCACCCGAAAACACTACTCTAAACCAATCATTTCTACATGTTATCTTGTGCAGACTTCACCTGCTTCCCGAAAAGCACCTGTCAAAGATTTCCGCAAGCTGTGTTTGCCAGCTAAACCCTAAACCCTAAGCTTTAGAGGTGTTCTTCAGCTTACCGCAACAAAAGCCGTGCAGGCTCTATCTTTGAAGGAGGCTCGTGTCTTCGGAAAACTGCTGTTGATCTTTTTCAAGATTAGGGTTTAGGATTCGTGGTTTAGTGTTCGTGGATGAGGGTTAAGGCTACGACTCAGGTTTTAAGGCTTAGCTTTCGGGGCCTTAGGGTTTAATGTTACGGAGCCATTTGCTTGTCGATGTTTTCGGATTTTGTTGTTGAGGGAAAGAGTCAAAGAACACGTGGACAGCGACCGTGGCTACACAACAGATCCTTGTTCCAACATTTTCACCCGAAGTTGTATCGGATTCGGGCCTTGGGATCACAGCTTAGCTTAGGGTGCCAGGCTTTGAAATCGTTTGAACTGACCATAGAAAAAGACTTGGGGTTCAGGTTTTGAGTTTTTGTGGGTAGGTTATGCGTGCACCCCTTGGAGATGTGTGCCCCTCAACCCTCAACCTTAAACTAAAACCCTCAATCCTAAACCCTAAACCATCGAAAGGGCCCACGCTTTGGGACTCCTCACTTATCAACCCTTAGTAGTGAGGTAGGTAACCTGTAGGGTTTTAGGGTGTGCCAAACGACAACGCGCATTGTGGGCGCACTTGGGCTTGCAGGCTTACCCGCGCCAAGGCCACCCACTTACAACTCTCAGGGGCTTGCAGCTTACATATTCTCCGCACAAAGCGGCACTTAGTGCATGAGTGACTGAGAGCTTTGGCGGCGTCGGAATGGCCCTCACGTGCTGTTGTTGCAAGTTCTTGGCGACGCAAGACGTTTGCTCCATGACAAAAATTCTGGAGAAACCTACAGCCAGCATCCCAAGTCCCGGGGCCCTAAACCGAGGGAACGAGCGTACGAGCATGTCATGACATCTCCGTGTATCACTTCTATATCCCATGTTTTCACTGTTCGGAAAACCAACTGGTTTTGCATGCTAATGGAAGGACTCTGGAATGTGTTACCTTCGTCTGATGTAGGACTTCAAGAAGTCTCCCAAGTGAGCAAAATCAACGGCACGCATCTACTGTGCTGTCCATATCTTTGGCAAGACCTGAGGGCGTCTGTATGTCTGACGTTGATGAGGATGAGCGCGCAGAAACTCGGAATTCAAGGGATGCCGGCCTAGCGACGCCTCCACCGACTGGTCCGGCCGACATGTGCCGGCCTCACGCGGTTCCGCCAGTCCGTGCAGCAGGCTTCGCGCAAGCCATGCCGTGCTGCTCAACGAAAACGGAGTGGTCGTATGTGTCGTTGTCCTGGCGGAGGCGCCTTGCTAGCCGGCTAGTTGGTAGGCACGACTCAGCTAAATAGATA